AATTAATTGCAACTTTGGGTACGAAACTGGAGCTTAACGCGCGCAGCCTAGTGACGTAAGAGTATGCGTAGATTTCGATCCACATAGCTAGGGCGTCAATCTTCTTTTAGCTGAGAGTGGCTGACGACGTGCCCTTAAAAGCGGGACTCAAAGGTCTGGTTCACTTAATGGATGAAGCTGCAGGAAGGGCTACCTGGACAGTGAACATCTATCAGGTAAAGAGATTTTTCAATTTTTTCTCAGCCAAATGTTTCCATGACAATTCGCTGTTGGGCCCAGGAATAGTAGAAACCAAATTTCCAATTTTAAGTAATTCATCCTGGTTTGTAACTGTCCACTCGGTTCCTAACCCCGACATAGGGATGTAAGTCACGGCATGGAGAAACAAGAAGATGGAGAGCTGGGCGTTATTTTAAAAGCATTATTCCAAAATTTGCTAATACACGACAAGTGGTCCACACCGAGTTGATTATCTTGCTTAACAGAAAACCTATAGACGAATCATTTCCTTTAAGCCCATATGACTACACTGTTAAAATGTCCTATGTGACATTGGCAAAATTGCAAACCGAAGCCCTCTACTTTGGGCTCAAATGTTGTGTGCCGAGAAAGAAAATAGACCCGATAGCGATTGAAGCCCAATTTTAAGACCTATATTACCAGTTATCCGACTTAAAGCCGACGTCAGAAGAATCTGCAGGATGGTTAAAAGCGAAATTCGTGGATATCGCTTATCAATATAGTATAACCCCGGTTACTCTGCGCTTGCTCTTAACTAAGCAACACCTTACGGCTTTACATGACCTACGAAAGGCTACTGATGTCGTTATCTCGAGACCAGACAAAGGAAGCGGCGTTGTGGTTCTAAACAAGGACGATTACGTAAGAAAGATGTAAGCCATATTAAATGACCCCAGCAAATTCTCTTCTGAAACCCACGGGAAAGAAGAAACAAAAGCACTGGAAGATCTTATTGGGAAAAAGGTTAAACTGATACTTAAAAAACGGTAATAAACGAAAACACAGCTGTCTGTCTTAGGTCTGTAGGTTCGCATATTCCTAGGCTTTATGAGCTATAAAAACTACACAAGCCAGGACTACCACTACGGCCAATTTTATCAGTGAGGGGATCACCGCAGCATAAGCTTGCCCAGTAGCTAGTCCAGGGGTCGGCAACCTTTTTAACTCAGAGAGCCAAGAAAGTAAATATTGGGAAATATATTTCAATGAGAGCTTTATAGTATATTTTAAGATGAAATTCAATTAAATGCGAGTATAGTAAGCCTCTGAATTTATTCTTTTAAATAATGTCCTTATAATACTCATTGTTAATGTGACTTCTGGTGTTGCATGGATTCGCTGATGGTTTTAAAGTCTGGTCGGTAGTTGGTGAGGTTAAGCTTCATGCAGGCGTTGGGACTTTCATCCGTTAGACGTGATCGTAGGATGGACTTGATGTATCTAAGATTTGAGAATGACTGCTCACATGCATACGTAGATGCAAACTAAGTCAATACAGCAATACT